GCCAGAGGGGTACCTGACGAGCTGCACCTTCGACTACATGAGTGAAGGTTCCAAGTTCTACGTCGTCGGCCTCTGGTTCTGCATGTGGCTCTGCCCTATGCTCATCATCACTACCTGTTATTATCTTGTGTACTCCCACGTCGCCGCCCACGAGAAGTCGCTGAAGAAGCAGGTAAAGACAGAGTGATGATATGTGATGATGAGGAGTTGACAGGAGTGATGATAATGATGAGGAGTTGATAGGAGTGATGATAATGATGAGGATATTGGTTTTTTTGGGTGGTGATTGGTATTGGTGCATATGATACTGCATTGGTGATGATAACATTCATTTTTCTCTTTATCTACCTATCTGTCTATCTATCTCGCTCTCGCTCTCACTCTCACTCTCTCCTTCTCTTCTCCTCTCCTCTCTCTCCTTTTTCTTTTTTCTCTCCCACACCCGCTTCCGCTCTCGCCCCCCTCCTCTCCCCTCTTCTTCTCTTTCTCTTCTCCTCCCCTCTTTTCTATCCTCTTCTCTTCTCCCCTCATCTCTTCTCTCTCTCTCTCTCTCCCCAGGCCAGCAAGATGAACGTGGACTCCCTCCGATCCGGCGACAAGACCAACATGAGGCAGGAGGTACGCGTGGCGAAGGTCGGTGCCACTCTCACCTCGCTCTTCCTTATCTCGTGGACGCCCTATGCCGTGGTCGCCTTCACCTGCACCTTCGGGAGGCCGGATCTGGTCACGCCCTTCGTGTCTATGATTCCTGCCTGCACCTCTAAGACTGCGGCCTGTATTGACCCCTTCGTCTACGCCATCAACCACCCCAAGTAAGTGCATTCGGTGTGTCTCTCTCGGCTGATAGGAGTGTTGTTTTAGATGGGTGCGTGTAATGGCGGGGTTTATGTTTCTTTGTCTCTTTGTTGAAGCTAACCTCTCTCTCTCTCTCTCTCTCTCTCTCTCTCTCTCTCTCTCTCTCTCCTCTCTCTCTCTCTCTCTCTCTCTCTCTCTCTCTCTCTCTCTCTCTCTCTCTCTCTCTCTCTCTCTCTCTCTCTCTCTCTCTCTCTCTCTCTCTCTCGTCTCTCTCCCTCTCTACTCTCTACAGGTACCGCATCGAACTCTCCAAGAAGATGCCTTGGTTCTGTGTCCACGAGAAGGAGGAAACCAGCGCACCCTCAGAAACCGTCTCCAAGGAAGCCCCCGCTAATGCCTAGATACATTAGGAACAAAAAATGATCTCTCAACGTGGCTGTCAGAAAATGAAATTTTAAAAAATACCCGATAACCTGGCTCTTCACGAAGCGAAACTACTCGACGACAATAGCCATGCATTTCCGTTGTCGAAGATACGAAGAAGAAGAACGAAGAAGCCGAAACATAAAGTGAAAAAAGAAGACCACGAGAGATGATGATTAACCTTTATCTTTGTAAGAGGACGACCGCCTAAAACTTGAACCTTTGGCTTCGCTCATTGCCTCACCGAAGAAAGCGACACAGAACATCGACTTCATTTCGGTTCTACCATCTGAAGAGGAGTCTGTAGGTATACTCGAAACGTCGATGTTTAGTATCCCCCCCTCCCTTACTTCTACTCAAGTTGTGCTTCGTTTCATTTACAGAAGTTACTGTAATTGCGTTTGTATTCGAAGGAGGATGTTTACGTATTTTTGGTGAGATGATGTATCGAGGACAGCTGTTCCTATGTGGAAGCTGGAAATCAGTTGTCGATTTCCTTTTTCTTTTTCATTTCTTTTCCTTTTATTTCCCATTTTTATCTTGCCATTTTTGTGGCGAGGGCAGTCTTAAAAACGAAAGAAAATACTGGTTTAGGATCTAGTTTTGAGACGAAAGAACATTTGCAGCGATGTGGCGTATTAAAGGAAGATTAAAAAAAGACCACACTGGGAACGAGACACGACCAGCAAAAGTAAAGATAACGAACATATAGACATTTACGATTTTTTTTCATAAACTGATTTCTTAGTAGTTTAAACCACATCACCTAATTAGTATACTTATAGCATCGAAAGTTATAATAAAGAGTTAAACAGACATAAACGTATACATATTTACTACATTTTTTTCCGGTAAGATCAAACCTCTCTGATCAAAGAAACAGACAGAAAATCCCATCATTCCTATTACTTACTTATCTGACCTGTGCCCTCCTAATTAAGTAAATTATATCAAAGCGTTTTAACGATTCGTATGAAAAAGTAACGGTTTCGAAAACATTCTCGCGCCCTTTTAGGTTTTAAGACGCGACACGCACATGGCGAGACGATCCCTTGTGAAAATAAATAATCGGAATTTATCAAATTAATTGTGTAGTTCCTTCTCCATTTTACGTTCTTCTGTTTGTTATTTCTTCTTCCATCTACGTGTTCCTTCTTTCCATTTTTATTTCTTTCTCTTTGGCCACAGAGGTTTGTCTTGATTTTTTTCCTCTTTTTCAACACATGTTTTTTTTTTCTCTCTCTCTTCATGTGTAAACAGCCGCCCACGCACATTGGCGTTGTAACTTTTCTATCAACAAAATAACATTTCAATTCTTTACTTTAAGAGATTATTCGAAAAGTTAGGGTACTAATAATCTATTACTTTAGTAGAGTCTGTATCCGAATGTAACAGGAAAGGATTTTTTTTATTTCATTATGTTGGTTATTAATAACATTATTATTGTTATTATCATTAACATTTCTATTACTATTATTATAGTAATATTGATAACACTATTATTGTTATTATCATTAACATTTCTATTACTATTTTTATTATTATCATCAATATCATTATCTTTTTTGTCATCTTTCTCAAGTGGTCTATTTTCAACCGCTGGAAGTTCTTTGATATGTCATAATGGCTCTGGATGTTCTTCAGTTTGGACTTAATGCTAAACCGAAGTAAAGTTGAATGCATAATTTCAGCTTGTTTGATTTCCTCCTTTCCCATCTACGCTGTTTTAATGGCTTTGACATTTTGCTGCACCACACCGGTCAAAGTCAATATCTAAAAAGAAGAATAATGATAAAAAATAAACAAATAAAAGGGAATTAATGATTTATTAGGCTTCTTTGGTTTATACTGCCAATTATTACTATTATTAAGAACTTGCATTATGAAAGCAGTGCAAGCGCTTTTGCAAGATTTACCGATATACATAAGTATTAACAATTATTACATTTCATCGTCTAAGTTCAGTCCATGATAACTATCACATAATCTTACATATCAATTGATAAAAAATCAAACTTTAATAATCATCTCGTTTATTACAGTTCTTAAAATTCAATTTGTTTCCCAACCTGGTTCCACAAAATCAAACAGGTGTTGCCAACTCGTCTTTTTGAGCAAACAGAGGCAGACTGAACAAATATTGGATGTTCAGCGAGAGAAGAAACTGTAGGTTTGGACTTCTTGAAATTCTTCTTATTTTCAAGTTCGAATAAATTCTTTTGTTTAGAATTTTTATCTAAAATCCTCTGACTTAGGCCTATAGACAAAAATGCAATCAATATGCTATTTACGCATATATATTCATCAACATCAATTAAACTGTTTCTTTGGATAATTTATCAAATATGTTTTCTCGCGTGTGGTATTTAAAGGCATGCAAATTAGATAGGATTTTCTGAAATAGTTTTTTTTCATATTCTAAATATAATTCCATACAGAAAGGTATATGGAAGGAAGATGCGTTCAAGATTTCACCTTATCTCTCTCTCTTTCTCTCTATGTGTATATATATATATATATATATATATATATATATATATATATATATATTATATAATATACATATATATATATATAATTATATATATATATATATATATATATATATATATATATATATATATATATATATATATATATATTATATATATATATATATATATATATATATATATATATGTTAATAATATATATATATATATATGTATATATTATATATTATATATATATATATATATATATATATATATATATATATATATATGTAATGTGTGTGTGCGTGCAATGGGTTTCCAACCCGAACCCTCGCACAGATTATTCATGGCTGACCCTCCTGGATCCCAGGATTTAACCTTTATTGGCCTGGAGGAAAGAGCTTGAATGCGAACGAGTTTCTCGCACCTGACCGCTGCAAATTGATAAATCCGGCACGGTTCGCTGAGAAAGCCGTGACGCACAGGAGGCCAAAGGCAATGTGGATACCAAGGAACGAGGCTGCGAATGCTGAGGAGTCGAAGCCACAATCTATGCACGAATTTTCTCGCCATGGTCAAGGTCTATCGTTGTGGCCATGTTGCACGCAAATGTTAAGACAGTCCGCCACGCAAGCCTAACGGGTCGGGGGGGGGGGGGGATACACTAAAATGCAAATAGCGCAATAGCAAACTCGAGTTGAAATAATATATCTAAAAAGATTTCTGAACACAAGATGTTTAGAATATTTTGTATAATTACTGTACACACACACACACACACACACACACACACACACACACACACACACACATATATATATATATATATATATATATATATATATATATATATATATATATAGACAACATACTAACGCATTCACACGCTGTTGCTGTTTATGTTTGTAAACATTTGAGAAAAAATAAAGATCGTATTTTCTATTTCACTTACAACTACATATTCGCATGTTTTTGCCCATAATGTTGCTACTAACCATTTTACTAATCCCATATTGATATTTGTAAATATTTCCCTTAGTTCACCTATATCAGTTATGCATCAGTTTATTTTATTTATTCATCTTCTTTACTTTGTTTTATTTATTGTTTCTAGAGCGTAAGCGGCCGTTATTGTTAATATGACGTCATGATCTGGGATTGCCATGCCTCCGACTCTGCCACTGATGACTCACACTTGTTCATTCATTTCACTTAAACACTAAGTCCAGAGCTCTTCATACTATAACAATTTTCTTAAAGTTCCTTTGATAGGCATGTTATACTTAGTATTCTCTTTATTTTCTATTCGAAAAATACTGAAGTTCACGGACGGTATTTTCACTGTTGTGTCCTTGAACCTCTTAATCCCCCACCCCCTCTCCACTCCCCTCATTCATTCATAAATCTGTGTTTACTATCGCCTGCTACGTATGGATTAAACAAGAACCGCCATTTCTAATTAAGGATTGATTTTAAACCGGTCGCTTCTGCAATAAAGTAAACATAAACAACCTAATACATTGTTATTGCCCTTACAAATAAATCCCTTTGTCTACAAACTTTCTATAATTTACCGAGAAAACAAGCACGAAATATCGCAGCATCAAACAGCTATTACATTGTATCCATATTTTCCAATTCTACAATACACTGAATTTTATTATGTAATCATATGGAAGTAACCACTGGATTGTTATTTGGAATTGCCACTAGTAGTTGAAAAGAGAAAAAGCCAATTTCAACCGTTGTCGAGTTAACTGCATCCTGAAATATCCATAACAAGTAAGAAGAAAGTCGCTGGTTAAATCTAGCAATTGTTTCGGTATGTGTTTGGCACGACCTCTCTCGCTGTCTTTTTTATTTCTGAATCTAAAGTGCTGCGATTCTTTCACCACCAAGTCGGGAACAGGCATACATTAGTTCATACATATTGTTTTCACCAGTATTAGTTGTAAGTATTTGTTGATGAAACCTAAGGTCAAAGATTGGTACTGATTTCGGTAAAAACTGTTGATTATCTTGCAACTACATTCAGAGTTTTGTGCAATGCATTTTCTCTTTGTTTTGGGATGACACATTTGTGATTTGGGCGTTTTCTTTGAATATATACAGGCGTCGCTTGTCATAAAAAAAATAGTATTTGATAGTTCGTCGAGTTTCAATATGATAATGACAGAAAGAGACATTTTCAGAATATCTTAATGTCCATCTAATATAACATTTGACGTAAAATCATTGTTACCAGGAAACACGCTGGGATTAATCTTAAGCCTCCCAGTATCCTTTTTGTTAATTGTCATTTCACGTGTAATTGTCAATCCAAAATTTCCAGTTTTCTAAAGCGCCTCGAGTCTCAAGGTTACATTTACAATACTGTTTTGTTGTGAGTGTGTTTAGGCAACGTAGTATGTGCGTACGTGTTATATAAGTAGAAAAACGGGCGAGGTCGACCCCTCCCCCCAAGCTGAATAACGTCTTGAGGCAAACTAGTGCCCCAACATTTCATCAATATTGACTCGTTCGGGTTTTCACAAGTATTCTCAGTTGGGGAAAGTGTTGTTTCTCATAATTATCATCACTTCAAATAGCATTAGTACCAATAAAGCATGGTCCTGCTCTACACAGTTAACCATCAAAAGTAAACTTAATTGAATCGATTGGGTCAGGGCTAACCGCTTTTCCGTAGAAGCATTTCTGCCGTCCTCTAAAAATTAGATGATAAAGAAAACGGATGAAAACAATGAAATTTAACCATACACTATCGTAAACGGACGGATATTGGATTACAATAACAGTGAGTAGGCTCAGATAGTGATGATTATAACATTTCCTGCGTTACTCTCTCGTCATTAAGCTAATAATGTAACAACATTCAACAACATGAAATGCACCCGCACCTCTTTACAGAAAACATATTAGATGTATAACTTATGGAAATGCATCAGTGAACCTGTAAACTTGATTTATCTTAAAAGTATACGATTATTCAGAGTGTGTGTGTTACAAGGCCGAGGGCATAAAGTCACTAAATGGGACTGTGGCTTTACCTTTGGTGATGCCCAGCTGGAAGACCTAATTGAAGTGACATCGGGTGAAATTTCCTCCGCGATGACGTTCGGTCTGCCACATCATATCAGTTTATACCAGGATGGCTTCAGCAATTTTTGTTGAATTTATTTAAACATGGGAAGATATTTTGCTATTGCTTTGAATAGTTTAATTTGCATCAAACCATATGTAGCCATAAAAAAAAAAAAAAAAAAAAAAAACCTACGGGAAAGAAAATCCGAATTGACGTCATCAGTCGCTCGTCTTTTCTTTCCGTAGAAATCCAATTTCTCTACGGATCTTCTCTTATAACATTGATCTTCAATGAACATTTGGGTGCCTGTTGTAACCGTCATGTTTTCGTGTAAGATATGAAAAGTGGAATTTTAAATCCTGTAGTATTATTATAGAGCTCCCTATGAATCATTTAAAAATTCAATTTATTGATTTTCGAAGCATTTCATATAAGAATTAGCTACGAATAGTAAGGTCATGACTTTATTTTGAACAATTTTCTGAATAAGCTTGTAAGATAGATATGACGTGTAAGAAGTTCTTAAGTAATTTGTGTGCTAAGGGCCATCGTATAGCAAGACTGCTGGAACAGAGCTGTCAGCTTTTCCGTAGCAGCGTTTCTGCCATTCTCTAAACATTAGATGATAAAGAAAACGGATATTTTATAATCATATTGGACCATACACTATCATAGACGAATGGATATTAGATTACAGTTACAGAATGTAGGATCAAAGTCTGGTGATTATAAGATTCCCTCCGTTACTTTCTTATTTACTGCACTGTATAAAATAATATACAATAAATACATTACCAAGCCAATAATGTAGCATTCAACAACATGAAATGCACCAGTATCTCTTTAT